CCAACCCTGTCAAGAGAAAGAAAAGAAACTATTTAATAGTTTTGGTTGGATAATCCTGAATCAAACTAAAGAGATAGGAATAAATAATTTTCATATTAGTCCTGCAGTTGCTATTCTTATTTTTCCACCATGGGTCCTTGGACAAATCAAAGTTGATTTAAATTTACTGGAATGAGGGAGAGAATTAGAAAGTAATGAGGTGGAAAGATACAAAGGAAACGAATACTCAGAATATATGAAGATTTATGCTGATGCATCTAAAACGTTAAATAGCAGAACTGGTATAGCCCTCCATGGGCTGCCACCTTATCATGGTGGAGGGGTTTGAGTGTCCCACTGACCCTAGGAGCTATGCTGTCAGGGGCTTTACGCCCCTAGTCGGGTCACCCATGGCAGACAGGTCCTAGGTGAGGGACCAGACAAAGTGCAGCCCAAAAACCCCCTTTGATGAGAAAGATAAACAGACCTAATGTTCCCTTGCCTGGACGTGGGTCACCGGGGCCCCACTCTGGAGCCAGGCCTGGAGGTGGGGCACGCGGGTGAGCGCCTGGTGGCCAGGCTTTTACCCATGGAGCTCTGCCGGGCACAGCCCGAAGAGGAGAAGTGGGTCCCCCTTCCCATGGGCTCACCACCTGTGGGAGGGGCCAAAGGGGTTGGGTGCAATGTGGGATGGGTGGTGGCCGAGAGCGGGGACCCTGGCGGTCTGATCCTCGGCTACAGAAGCTGGCTATTGGGATGTGGAATGTCACCTCACTGGTGGGGAAGGAGCCTGAGCTGGTGTGTGAGGCTGAGAGGTTCCGGCTAGAAATAGTCGGACTCATCTCTACGCATGGCTCTGGCTCTGGAACCAGTTTCCTTGAGAGGGGCTGGATACTCTTCCACTCTGGAGTTGCCCCTGGTGAGAGGCGCCGAGCAGGAGTGGGCATACTTATTGCCCCCCAACTTGGTGCCTGTGTGTTGGGGTTCACCCCGGTAAATGAGAGGGTGGCCTCCCTCCGCCTACATGTGGGGGGACGGGTTCTGACTGTCGTTTGTGCTTATGCACCAAACAGCAGTTCAGATTATCCACCCTTTCTGGAGTCCTTGGAGGGGGCACTGGAAAGTGCACGTCCTGGGGACTCCCTTGTTCTGCTGGGGGACTTCAATGCTCATGTGGGCAATGACAGTGACACCTGGAGGGGTGTGGTTGGGAGGAACGGCCCCCCTGATCTGAACCCGAGCGGTGTTCTGTTGTTGGACTTCTGTGCTCGTCATGGATTGTCTATAACGAACACCATGTTCAAGCATAAGGGTGTCCATATGTGCTCTTGGCACCAGGACACCCTAGGCCGCAGTTCGATGATCGACTTTGTCATCGTCTCATCTGATCTGCGGCCACATGTCTTGGACACTCGGGTGAAGAGAGGGGCGGAGCTGTCCACTGATCACTACCTGGTGGTGAGTTGGCTCCGATGGTGGGGGAGGATGCCGGTCAGACCTGGCAGACCCAAACGTATTGTGAGGGTTTGCTGGGAACGTCTGGCAGAGTCTCCTGTGAGACGGAGTTTTAACTCCCACCTCCAGGAGAACTTCGAACATGTTCCGAGGGAGGTGGGGGACATTGAGTCCGAGTGGACCATGTTTCGTGCCTCTATTGTCGAGGCGGCTTACCAAAGCTGCGGCCGCAAGGTTGTCGTGCCTGTCGCAGCGGCAACCCTCGAACCTGATGGTGGACACCGTCGGTGAGGGATGCTGTCAGGCTGAAGAAGGAGTCCTATCAGGCATTTTTGGCCTGTGGGACCCCAGAAGCAGCTGATGGGTACCGGCAGTCCAAGCGACATGCGGCTCGGGTGGTCGCTGAGGCAAACACTCGGGCATGGGAGGTGTTCGAAGAGGCCATGGAGAACGACTTCCGCATGGCTTCGAGGCAATTCTGGTCCACCATCCGGCGTCTCAGGGGGGGAAAGCGGTATGCCACCAACACTGTTTATAGTGGGAGTGGTGTGCTGCTGACCTCAACTCGGGATGTTGTGGGTCGGTGGGCGGAATACTTTGAAGACCTCCTCAATCCCACCGGCACGTCTTCTACTGAGGAAGCAGAGCCTGGGGACTCTGGGTCGGGCCCTCCAATCTCTGGTGCTGAGGTCACCGAGGTGGTTAAAAAGCTCCTCGGTGGCAGGGCCCCAGGGGTGGATGAGATTCGCCTGGAGTTCCTTAAGGCTCTGGATGTTGTAGGGTTGTGTTGGTTTACGCGACTCTGCAATATTGCGTGGACATCGGGGGAAGTGCCCCTGGATTGGCAGACCGGGGTGGTGGTCCCCCTATTCAAAAAGGGGGACCGTAGAATGTGTTCCAACTACAGGGGAATCACGCTCTTAAGCCTCCCTGGTAAGGTCTGCTCGGGGGTTCTGGAGAGGAGGGTCCGTCGGATAGTCGAACCTCGGATTCAGGAGGAGCAGTGTGGTTTTCGTCCTGGCCGTGGAACACTGGACCAGCTCTACACTCTCAGCAGGGTCCTGGAGGGTGCGTGGGAGTTTGCCCAACCGGTCTACATGTGCTTTGTGGACTTGGAGAAGGCGTTCAACCGCATCCCTCGGGGAACCCTGTGGGGGGTACTCTGGGAGTATGGGGTACCGGGCCCTTTGATACGGGCTGTTAGGTCCCTGTATGACCGGTGTCAGAGCCTGGTCCGCATCGCCGGCAGTAAGTCGGGCTTGTTCCCAGTGAGAGTTGGACTCCGCCAAGGTTGCCCTTTGTCACCGATTCTGTTCATAATTTTTATGGACAGAATTTCTAGGCGCAGCCAAGGTGTTGAGGGGATCCGTTTTGGTGGCCTTAGGATTGCATCTCTGCTTTTTGCAGATGATGTGGTCTTATTGGCTTCATCAGATCAGGATCTACAGCTTTCGCTGGAGCGGTTCGCAGCCGAATGCGACACGGCCGGGATGAGGATCAGTTCCTCCAAATCCGAGGCCATGGTCTTGAGCCGGAAAAGGGTAGAGTGCCCTCTCCGGGTCAGGGAGGAGGTCCTACCCTCATCTATGGTCACGAGCTTTGGGTTGTGACCGAAAGAATGAGATCTCGGATACAAACGGCCAAAATGAGTTTTCTCCGCAGGGTGTCTTAGAGATAGGGTGAGAAGCTCGATCATCCGGGAGAGACTCAGAGTAGAGCCGCTGCTTCTCCATGTCGAGAGGAGCCAGTTGAGGTGGCTTGGGCATCTTTTTAGGATGCCTTCTGGACACCTCCCTGGTGAGGTGTTCCGGACACGTCCCACCGGAAGGAGGCCCAGAGGAAGACCCAGGACACACTTGAGGGACTATGTTTCTTGGCTGGCCTGGGAACGCCTCGGGATTCCCCCGGAAGAGCTGGCCCAAGTGGCTGGGGAGAGGGAAGTCTGGGCCTCCCTACTTAGGCTGCTACCCCTGCGACCCGACCCCGGATAAGCGGAAGAAAATGGATGGATGGATGGATGGATGGATGGTATAGCTTTGGTAATTCCAGAATTAAATATTATGAAAAACAAAAGAATAACTGACAATTTAACAGTATACACCGGGGAATTATTGGCAATATCTATGGCTTTGGAGTGGGTTGAAGAAATTAGAGGAAAATAAGTTTTAGTTTGTTCAGATTCAAGTAGCGCATTAATAAGTATTCAGGAGGTACATTCAGATACAAGACAAGATATTATACTGGAAAGAGCTCAATGTAAGGGTCCCACTGCCTGCAGCCTGCCTTGCTGATGGCCGCTGATTACCAACACCTGGCGGCCATCAGCCTGATGAGCCTCTCCATCTACAAAAGGCTGCAGCCCAGTGTGACTCATCGCTGGAGCATATCACCTCTCATGGTATAGTACTGTTGAGCTAGAAATGTCTAGGTGAAAAGAATTTGTTCACCTGTGTTCTCTTTTCCAGTTTCCTGGTTCCTCGTGTTTTTGGATTCTCCTCGTGACCTGATCTGGATCCCTCGGCATGTCAGGTATTCCTCGTGCCATTTTTGCCTCCAGTTGCCAGCCTTCCTCGTTCCCTTGGACCCTCGTTGGATTCCCCTCTGCTGCTCTCTCCCTGGACTGAAGGACCAGCTCTCCTCCTTGGGTTTGCACTGTAAGGACAAAAACGCTCTTCAAACAAACCACTCTGGTCTTCCCCTCTGGACCAACATTAATCTGTCGTCCCTTTTTCCAGGAGCCGCTGAGAAGCAGCTTGTGGATTTGATTATCACTGTACATAATAAACACTGTTCTTTTTGTACTTCCCCTGTGTCTGCCTCGTTCTGGGTCTCATAACATCTGGGTTCCCCGCGCACTCTTAACACTCAACTAATTTTCAGGATGAATAAATATGGGTCAGAGATTAAACTAATATGGATTCCTGCACACATTGGAATAATGGGAAATGAGTTGGCTGACCATTTTGCTAAAAGTGCTACTAGAAAAAAATATTGTGGACTTAAACATTAAAATAAGTAAAAACGAGGTTAAGAATATAATAAAGTTACATATTAAGAAGAAATGGCAAGAGCATTGGGATAATGGAGACAATGCTAGATTTTATTATAATATCCAAAAAAAGGTGGAGGAATTCAGGAAATGTAATAGAACAAAAAAAAAGAAGATATTATTTCGAGGATGAGATTTGGTCACACGGGATTAAACACCACACTGAAAATAATCAATAAACTTGTTACAGGCTGTTGTGATCATTGTGGACAATTGGAAACAATAAAACAGATTTTCTTAGAATGCAATAAATATACAAAGGAAAGAGAGTTACAAGTTAGTGAGTTAAATAAAAGTAAGTTAGAGATAAAGGAATTGCTGCAAAGATCATCATGGGATAAAAATTTTACCAGTATATTTAGATATCTGAGAAGAATAGGTAAGTTAGAAAGGATAAAACATATAAAATAATATAGAGTGGTATAGCATCTGGTCCATACTCCAATCCAGAAGGTGGCGGTAATGCACCTAAAAGTTGTTTGACAACCGCCATAAAAACACAAGAAGAAGAAGAATAGACGCTGTCCTTACTGAGGCGTCGGCATCAAAGAGGAAGCGCG